ACGCTGGAGTCTATCATCCATCTGCTGAAAAGAAAAGATTGGTTTGTCGTCATAGACCTGAAAGACGCGTACTTTCACATAACGATTCATCCCTCACACCACAAATTCCTCAGGTTTGTCTTTCAGGATGTGATCTACCAGTTCCTGGCTCTTCCGTTTGGCCTGGCGACGGTCCCCCGGACGTTTACGAAGTGCATGGCACCTGTTGCTGCTTACCTGAGGTTAAACGGTGTCCATGTTTTTCCGTACATCAACGACTGGTTGGTGGTCTCCCCGGCCCGACGTAGAGCCCCGAAAGACACAAAATTTATTCTACATGTGCTTCGGAACCTAGGTCTCAAGGTAAATTACAAAAAATCTAATTTGGTTCCCTCAAGAGTCGTAGAATACATTGGTGCCACAATAGATGCTATCAAAGGCCACATCTTCCTTCCACAAGAACAGATCCAAAAGATTCTGAAATCTGTACAGAAGTTCATGGCATGAGCTACAGTGTCCGTGCTACATTCTCAGCATCTCCTGGGTCTCATGGCGTTGACAACTCCAGGCTTGGCTCATGCTCGACTCAAACTCGGGTCTCTACAGGTGTGACTTCTTTCCCTCTTCATCTTTGAGTCACACCAGAGCTGGCACAACAGCTACAATGGTGGAGTTTTGTGCCGCACCTACAAGTAGGACGTCCATTTCAATCTCTTCACTTGACTGTCCAAGTCACCACAGACGCAAGCCCCACAGGTTGGGGGGCGCATTGCGGCCAACATTGCATACACGCCCGGTGGTCAGCTCAAGAACAGATTCTCCACATCAACCACCCGAAGATTCTGGCTGTCATCAAAGCACTCAAAGCTTTTTTCCCCCTAGTACATGGTCGTGGGGTACAAATAGTCACGGACAATACCACGACCATGTACTACATAAACAAACAAGGGGGCACACACACTCACTCCCTGCTGTTTCTAACGGTAACGCTTTGGGAATGGTGTTACTGCCATCACATCTTTCTAGCAGCAGTTCATGTGTCGACGGAAGACAATGTGATAGCCGACGAACTGAGTCGACGCATAAGTCAGATGCACAAGTGGGAACTGAATACCGAGATGTTCGACAATCTGCCGTTGTTGGGGCACCCCTGCCGTGGACATTTTTGCCACTCGAACCAACAAGAAATGTCCGATTTATGCCTCCAGGGCAGGTTGGGGACAGGGTTCTATGGGGGATGCCTTCATGATATCATGGACTATGGGTCTTCTCTACCTGTTCCCACCGTTTCCTCTAGTCCAGAGGACGCTAGTCAAACTTCGGCAGGACTCTGCAGAGGCGATTCTGGTGGCACCTTTCTGGTCGCGTCAGTCGTGGTTTCCGACCTTGGAATAAATGGCAATAGACTCGGTGACACTCCCGCTTTTCCCTGCTCTACTCACTCAGGATGTGGGCAAGGTGTTCCACCTGGACCTCAAGACAATACATCTCACTGCGTGGAGCATATCCCCGAGATTAAGGAAGTCCTAGATAAGTCTAAAAGGGTGTCAGCTTCTCGGCTATATGGGTATAAATGGAGAAGTTTTCTCAAGTTTACTGAATCTAAAGGTCTCACTTCACGTCCAGTCACCCTTTCTACTTTGTTGCAGTTTCTGCGTTATCTGTTTGATTTC